AACACACCAAAAGACAACAAAGATTTCATCTTTAGAAAAAGACACCTTAAAAGGTACCAAAAACACTAAAGGACCAAAGATCTTACCCTCCTATATGCTCAAGAGTAAGAAAGGTGGAATCTTGGAGACAAACTTGGAAGATCTTGGAATGCCCAAACTTGGCTTGAAGAAGAAGCTAGATAAATTCTAGAGAGAAGGAGGAGCTTTTGGTTTGAGTGTGTTAGGGAAAGAATGAAAGATGACTCTAGGTTAGCTTGGGATACAAACATAAGGTGAAAAGTCTTCTTTACCCTTACTAAAATGGAAAAGTGTAAGGAGACAAGGGAACTATTCATGAAGCATAGGGTACAACCCATTGACTTAGATTGACTAGTCAATTACTAGTCCTTGACTATTGAATTTTCAGGATTTTAAAGAATAAATCACCAATTAGGTTAGGATTAATTACTTAATTAATCCCTAAATAGAATTTGGATTTACGGGGTGTCACATCCTCTCCCCCTTAAAAGAAGCTTCGTCCCCGAAGCTTGGGTACGACGAATTAAAACAGAACGATAAAATGGAACAACAATGTGACAAGAGTGTCAAGAATATCCTTTTGGTCAAAACTTAAAGGATCCAAAAGATACCAAAAACAAGCAAGAAGTCATAGCATTGAAAGGTTGAAAGAAATAACCAATAGAGTTCTTTGAGCATAACGAACACTAAACCAAACACAACCATCAACCTTCTAACCACACAAAAGGTTCTAAACCACTAGCTCCTAGTACAACCCACAAAGCTAACTACTCAACACAACTAGCAAACAAGGACGATCACACAAGGCAAACAACAAAGCAGCAAGCCAACGGCAACAAAAACTAACAAGCAAGAAGAAGCAACTAAACACAGCCAACCAGCAACAACAACTAGCCAGCAAACAAACAAACGAGAGAAAAAACGAGCTAACACGACAAAACGGTCGGCTTACGAAACGGGTAACAAAGATTAAGAAATGAGTTGCAACGAGGTTTTAAGCAATAAAGGTGTTCGCCACTAACCAAAGTTAGAGGAACCAAGGGTTCAAATTAAGGTGGTAAGTTTGATAGGCTTGGACACAACTAAGTTTAACACAAATATAGTCGGTTAACAAAATGAGTGGCAAAGCTTAGAAATAAGCTGAAGGTTCACAAAGGTGAGTCAAGAAAGAAAGGTAAGGTGATAGATAAAAGATTTACCAGAAAGGGAAACTAACCCTACCTTAACCTTAACTCTCTGCTTAAAACTAACCACCTATCTTCCTAGATCTAGACATCTGAGTAAAGACACAACCTACAGCTAAAACTAACACCAAGAGAGCTCTAAAGCTAGAACACTCGGTACCAAAGAACCAGGGTTTCATCTTAAACTAATCTCCGCTGACTTCTTCAACCAAAAGAAACAAGGTACTCACACTACACAACTTGAACTCGACATCCATTTGAACTTGATCTGTCACTTCCAGACAAAGGCCGCAACTGCTAGATTCGAAACACGAGTTGGATGTCCTCTTCTCCAGCTCTTGGACTAACTTGATGCAGGGATTTTATAGCTTGGTTATATGATCGTGGCTCATCAACAGAGGTGACAGCCATGGGAAAGGCCTTGTGTGAACCTGTATGGCTGCTGTATGATATTACTTTTTATAGAGTGTGCGGTGAGACTCCCTTTTGCACAATTGCATCACAATAACAGTCTTCAAGCCAGCATGGTGTACGTCGGTTTCTCTCAGATCGCCTAGGCAAACTGCTAGGCAAATTACTAGGCTAGAATTCCCTGGAGTTTTCTTGAACCAAAGGCAAACTGCTAGGCAAATTACTAGGTTGGAGTTCACCGCTGTCTTCTTGAACATCAACATGAGGCTCATTAGGCAACTGGATGTCAGAGTTTGTCAACTGCATGGGATGAACAGAAAAAAGACTGTTGGGCTGAAATTCATCAGTATGGAGCTGGGGTACTTTTTGTGACTTGTGGATCCCATAATCAGCTAATGTAGTAGTAGGGATGATGGGTAAAGATGGCTCTGGTAACACCTCTTGTGTATTCATAGGGTGTTCCTCTTTATCCAATGGGAATTGATCATCATAAAAAACCACATCCCGTGACACCAAGGTGACCTGTTCTTCAATATCATACAGAATATATCCTTTTATATTAGAAGGAATGCCAATGAAGATGCATTTTTTACCTCTCAGAGCCATTTTGTGTCTTGTGTGAGGTAATGTAGCAGCATAACAGAGACAGCCGAAGACTTTGAGACTACTGATGTCAGGCTCCTTGCCGTATAGCTTTTTGTAAGGGCTTTGTCCCTCAATAATAGGTGAAGGTAGCCTATTTATTATAAATGTGACGTGCATGACACAATGACCCCAGAACTCCAATGGCAAGTGAGCTTGAAACCGTAAACATCTTGCAACATTAAGAACATGTTGGTGTTTTCGCTCAACAATGGCATTTTGTTGTGGGGTATACACACAAGAACGTTGATGAACTATTCCTTTTTCTGAAAAGAAATCAATCATGTTGAATTCACTGCCATTATGGCTTCGGATTACTTTGATCTACACCCCAAACTGAGTAGTCACAAAAGGCATGAAACTTCCATATGAGCTGTCTTGCCTCTGATTTATTCTGCATGAGATGTACCTATGTAAATCTAGAAAAATCATCAACTATTGTTAGGAAGTATCGTTCTCTTTGTAAAGAAAGTATTGGGAATGACCCCCAAATATCGATATGTATAAGATCAAAGTGAGCTTTTGAGGATGTAGTACTTAATGGGAAATGAGAACGTTTGTGTTTGGCAAAGTGACAAACATCACATGCTACATTCTTATTAACTGCAACAGCAATATTTTTGAACAAATGTAACTTCTTTATTGGGAAGTGGCCCAATCTAAGGTGCCAAAGGTCACTTCCAGTACATTGTGAGACAAATTGTTTATCCGGCAGCTTTGGGATTCCATCAGGACGTATAATCCTTTGTCTTCTTTAGCTATACCGGTCATCACTCCATGATTTTCCTGAATAAGACATTGGCCAGGCTTCCATTAAATGAAAATAATAAAATTTAAACTATTACCTATTGGCTATGGATTCTTTCACTACATTTTAATTGAAATTATGCTTAGATAATTAATTGAATATGAATTGTTCTATTTAGGCTTCCATTAAATGAAAATAATAAAATTTAAACTAATTAGCTATTGGCTATGGATTCTTTCACTACATTTTAGTTGAAATTATAATTATGCTTAGCTAATTAATTGAATATGAATTATATTGTTCTATTTAGGCTTCCATTAAATGAAAATAATAAAATTTAAACTAATTACATATTGGCTATGGATTCTTTCACTACATTTAAGTTGAAATTATGCTTAAGAAGAAGAAATGTTTTGAACTCATTAGGTTGTGATCATGCAATGTTATGTTTGACAATTTGTTCATATTGTGTATGATTAATGCTTGATTATATGGTAGATTCTTTAAAGATGTATTGTTGTTAAAAGAGTAGAGCACATATGAGCCAAACTGCACATTCTTGTTCCTACTATATATATGAGAGTAATAAGTACGTAAGATAGTGAGATGTTTACATGTTATGGTCTTGATTATGTTCAATTTTATTTGAATTATGATTGTATTCAATTTTATTTTAATTACCTTGAGGGTGGAATTGGAGTCAATTGGTTCACCAGGTAATTAAAATAGTAGCTACCAGTGGACGCGTGCAATGCACGTGCCCGCTAAGTGCGTTAGTAAGATTAAAAAAATTAATTTATTTTGCTTGTGCTATTTTTCTTTTTCTTTTTTCTCCCCTTTTTCCTCCATTTCTATCTTCTTGTTGGACAAAAACCTAATCCAAACAATGTAACTATTGTAGTTGCTCTAAAGAAGCTACTTTATAATCCACTCGTATGGTTTTTGTCAGCTAGGAATATAAATAGATTCTAGTAGCTTCCTTAGTTGTCTGTGATTTTTTAGTAATTGAAACAAAAATAAACAATTGGAAAACATATGAAAACAAATGTTTTCTCAAGAGTTGTATCTTAATATAGAAATGGTGTAAAGGTAATCAAGAAAATGTTATTTAAAAAGAAATTTGTACACCTATGTAATTAGGCCTAAATTTGCCACATGATGCGAAGTTAGAGTAAAAATAAATTTTTTGATTAATTTAGAGTAAAAATTAATTACTATACGATTGATAATTATTTACTATATTTATAATTATAAAATATCAATTATTATAATGAATATTTACCATATAATTAATTTTTTTTTTAAAGGAGCCTGTACGGCTTTTATTCGAAATATGCAGAAATAGAGGCAGGCGGATCAGAGTCCGAATACATACTAGTCAACTGATTAAAAGCAGTAGATGCTAATGTATGAGCTAAATAATTTTCTAGTCTAGGAACATAATGAAGCAAACAGTAATCAAAAGATGATAAACTAGTTCTGCAACTATCAATGGCATAGCCCAAATAAGACTGTGACGAGCGTGTCGTAGATGATAGGTATTGTTGAAGCACCAAACAACCCGTGAAGAGCTCGATAGACTTTATTTCTCGATTTCTTAACCATGAAAAAACTTCCTTGCATGCGAAAGCCTCCGCCATTAGGGGCGAAAAACAGTCTATCATAGGAGCAGTCATAGCCGAAACGTAACCTCCTTGCCAATCTAGGATAATAGCCCCCACCGCTGCCTTGTTCGTTCGTGGATCGTAAGCCGCATCGAAGTAGCATTGGTCCCTCATGTTTTGCATAGCATGGTGTAGCATACTTGGTGTAGTCGGCTGTGGCGTAGGCATCACGGCAGCAGCACCATCCCTCGGCGAGCTCACTGCCGTAGCAGTTCGATCGGTTGGTTGTCACTGCCGCAACACTGGTGATTGATGCCGTGGAGTTGGCCAGCGGATGTAGACGACCGGGGTGTACTACCTTCCAAGCACTCATGGCTGATGATGCCATTGCAACTACTTTCCGGGGTCTGGGCAAATTTGCTTCCCATACAGCTCCATTCCTTGCGCGTCATATGTAATATAAAAGTGCCACTGCATAAATAATCTCATCATCATCTAAAATATTCATCAAATCATTAAACCAATCACTGAAAATATTTGTGGCACTATTGGGGATTGGAAGGTTGGATTGTGCCCAAATGTTTGCCGTATAATCACATGTGATTAAAGAATGCACAAGATTCTCATGCACAATTCCACACATGGCACAAGTTGGATAAATATCAACTCTCCTTATAAGTAGGTTCTCCGTAGTGGGTAAAATATCATTTAGAGCTCTCCATAAAAATGTTTTCCACTTCGAGGGGACTTTTAATTTCCACAATTTTTTCCATTTATCAAAGGTCCCTACCGGCTGGGTGAAGTTACCTACCACTGCTCTATACCCATCCTTAACAGAATATTCTCCATTTGGATCTCCATACCAGTACCACATATCTTCATAATCTGGTGACACAGGTATTTTTAGAATTCGCTCCACATCCTCATGTATGAAAATATCTGTAAGAATATCCTGATCCCAAGTTCTAGTCTGTTGATCCATCAGACCCACCACTTTTGCTTGTGCCAATTGGGGTGGCCTTTCTGTTAAAATTCTCGGTTGATTCTCATCATGCAACCACGGGTGGTCCCAAATCAAAGTTGATTCGCCATTCCCAATCCTGCACCTAACTCCCCCACAAATCAAATCTTGTGCCGCCAAAATACTCCGCCAACAAAAACTTGGGTTATTTCCCAAGCATGCATCATAGAAAGAGTTAATAGGATAATACCTGGCTTTATATACTGTTGAAACCAATGGCTGTGGTTGTGTCAGAAAACGCCATGCTTGCTTGCCCAGCATTGCAAGAATAAAGGCCCTCAACTCCTTAAAACCCAATCCTCCATATTTCTTCGGGATACACAGCTTATCCCATGTTTTCCAATGAATACCCTGGTCATTCCTCGATCTCCACCAGTATCGATTCATGGTTCTCTCAATGGCAGTGCACAGATTCATAGGCAGTAGAAACACACTCATTGAAAAGGTAGGCATAGATTGAGCCACACTTTTCAATAGAACTTCCTTTCCTGCCTGCGATAAAAGCTTCTTATTCCACGAGCCAATCCTCTGTCTTATCTTATCCTTAATATAAGAAAATGCCTCTCTTCTATTTCTGCCCACAAATGATGGAAGCCCCAAATACTTCCCAAAATTCTGAGCCTGCACTACTCCCAATATACTGGCAATCTCCTCTCGTATTTCATCTCGTGTATTCTTACTAAAACATATATTCGACTTGTGATAGTTTACCGCCTGTCCAGACATCTTTTCATAATCTGCCAAACAACGTTTGACCACTCCCGCTTCCTGAACATTTGCTTTGAAAAAGAGCAGACTATCATCAGCAAAGAACAAGTGGGTAATGGAGGGGCTCCTCTCGCAACTCTACACCCATGTATCTCCCCCTTCACCTGTGCCTGTTGTAACAATATTGAAAGGCCTTCAGCACAAATAATGAATAAATAAGGTGACAGAGGATCACCTTGTCTTAAACCACGAGTCGGGGTTATTTGATCACTCCTTGAACCATTTACCAGTACACTATACGACACAGTGGTTACACACATCATCAACAACTCCACCCATCTGTCATCAAATCCTAGAGCCCTTAACATCCTTTGCAAAAAAGACCATTCCATATGGTCGTAGGCCTTTGCCATATCCAGCTTCAAAGCCCCCCAGCCCGCTAGTCCACATTGCTTCCTGTTTAAATAGTGGCCAACTTCCGCAGCTATCAAGATATTATCCGTAATAAGTCTTTCAGATATAAACGCACTCTAGGATTCAAATATAATACTCTCCATCAGTGGTTTCATTCTAGTTGTAATAACCTTCGCCATAACTCTGTAAACGACATTACTCAGAGCAATTGGCCTATAATCAGAAACCATTTCCGGGGTTTTCTTCTTCGGGATCAAAATAATATTTGTCTCATTCAATCTATTCGGTAGTGAGCAATTATTTAGGCAATTCACAATAAAAGAAGAAACATCAGAACCCACCACATCCCAAAAATGTTGATAAAACCCGGGGTTCATCCCATCCGGACCTGGTGCTTTATCAGGATACATTGAAAACAATGCCGCTTTAATCTCACTCTCCTCAAAAGGGCGCAATAGCCCCTCATTCTGCGCAGCAGTTACCCGTGGTTGTATACTCTCAAAGAAATCATCATTAACAGTAAGAGAACTCGAGCTAAAAATACCACGATAATAATTCAAGATAACATGTCTCATGGCATCCCCCTCAATCCAATCCCCATTATCATTCATAACTTTAGTAATAGCATTCTTTTTCTTTCGATGAGAAGCATACCTGTGGTAAAACCTGGTGTTTGCATCCGCATCCTTGAGCCAATGCTGTTTGGCCATCTGTCTCTAGTACGCATCCTCTTGTAGTTCAATACGAGTCAAGCACTCATCTAATCTCCGAAACTCGGCCAGAGACACCGGATCCGTATACCCCCTGAGGCGCATCTGTTCCTTACGTAAGGTCAATTCTTTTCACCAAATTTATGGAATCGGTCTCCACCCCAGCGTGTTAAGCGATTTCCACATAGTGCGACACACTCCTGTAGCCCCCTCTTCTTCCTTCGCCCCAGGATTTCTCCACCACATCCCTACATCCTTCATCATGTAGCCATGCCATCTCAAAACGAAACCCCCTTCTCAGACCACTCCGCCTTTCCCGAAGATTGAGAATCCCAAGGAAAAGAAAAGAATGATCTGATTTCCGGGTCAATATATTCTGGACACTCGCATCAGCCACCAACTCCCTCCAGGTCTGAGTAGCCAATACCTTATCCAAACGTTCCTCTATCCAATTCGGTGTGCCTTTTCCTTTCTCCCAAGTATAGCGATATCCAGACATTGGTAACTGTGTCAAACCACACTCCTCAATAGTCTCTCCAAAACCCCGTAGCAAGCTGTCTGGATGGGGATTTCCTCCTCGTTTCTCATACTAAAATAAGAGATCATTAAAATCTCCAATGATAACCCACGACAGATCCGACTTACTTGCTAATGAACGGATAAGGTCCCATGACTCCCTTCTCTGTGGACGTTTCGGGAAACCATAGAAACCAGTCATCCTCCATTTATCAAAACCCGGCATACTCACTTCAATATTTACGTGATTATTAGAGTAACCAATTAATCTTGCTGTATTATTCGTCCTCCATAACAATGGCAACCCCCCACTCAATCCAGAATTATCAACATTAAACAGGCCTTCAAACCCAAGCTTAACCCGAAGTCGTTCTGCATGATCTCGGTTAACCTTAGTTTCCATCATAAATACAAAATCGGGCTTCTTACGGGACACTACGTCCTCAATTTCCCGAACTGTCCGTGGATTACCCAAGCCACGACAGTTCCAGCTCAATGTACTCATTGGGTCGGGCGGGTCTGCACCGCAGCACCCGCCATCTTCAAGTTTTTTTTGACATCTGCCATTGCTATATCCTCCCTCATCACCACTCCCTCATCAGCCCAGCGTGCCCTACCACCCCCATCTTCCGGTCCCACCGAATATGTACTATCCGAATCCACACCCACACCCAATTCCACTCCACTCCCAACCCCACCATCCGTTCTTCGTCTCTTTGGATCCACCCTTACTCCCTCTTCCTCCCCAACTACCTCCTTCTCCCTCACTAGTCCCGGCTGTCCACCACCACCCTCACCCGCCACACCAACTTCCGCCACCCGTCCCCTTATTCCAACCACAACCGGCCTCTCTCCTACCATACCCGCCTGCCCGTAGCCACCCATACCAAACCCTATTTCCTTCCTCCTCTCTTGTCCCATCTTGAACTATTTGTCCCCTAACAATTTGGCTGGACTATTCCCACCTGCTCTCATTGCCGCACCAAATAGGTATTGATCCGGAGATAACAAAGAACGCCGAGCAGCTAAACAAAATTTATCAGTATGCCCCATTATGCCACAAAAGAAGCAAAACATATGTAGTCGCTCGTACTTGAAATTTATCCATGACCACGTCCCATCCCACATGATTATCTTCATACGACGTTTCAAAGGAACAGTTACATCATGCGTTATACGTACCCGGTAAAATGAAGTCCACGGCCTCTCAAAGTTACGTTCATCATACCGCAGAAACACCCCCGCGAAATCCCCAATTCGTTCAAGTACCTTCACCGTACGGTATCCCAATGGAATATCGTAAACCTGCAGGCAGAAGTCTACTGTGTTCAACACCACTTGCGTTGGATCCACTCCGTCATCCAAAACCTGGCAAAGAAGCGTCGTGTTCTCAAACGCCCAGGGACCCTCCTCCAACACCCGGCGCATGTCTGTCTTGTTAAAAAACATAAAGAGATATAAGTTCGGGAGTACATCTGTTACCTCTATTCCCATGAGTGGTCGCCAAGTCCAGGCCATCACCCTCTTCATCATCTCAACCTTCATGATCCGATCCGTGAGAAATCGTCTGACCAACGTCCATGTACTACGCACCGGAGGCTGCGCAGTGATACCATAAACCTCATCCTCGAAGCGTACGCCCTCTTCCTCATCGTCCAGACTAATACCCTCTGTTGACGGTATAATTTCTCGAACATCCATCGCTTAACGTTATCGATCTGATCGTTCGTATGCAAGAAAACCACAGGAACCCTAGAATGCAGGGAGAACCAACGTGAAAACCCTAGATCTCAGGGAGAGCTTCTTTGTTTTAGAATTTTTTTAATTATTACCTCTTTTGTACACGTCTAGACCCTAGTAATGTTAAAATGTTAAATGTTATGATTGTGTCACATCTCGTCACAATTCCTTCCCTTCCATGCATGTTTCATTGTTTCATCTCAAAGAGAGAGATGGGCAACCCCGGCCCCACCTTAGCCGTAAATGATGGCCCGTGAAGTGGGTCGGCTGTAGTGGCGTTAAAGGGTTAAGAAAGTCAGACGTTATGCCATGGAACCATGTTCACCATTCATGGTGAACACGGTTCCAACGGTGTTAGTGCACCGTTATCTTCTTTTTTTTTTTTTCTTTTAATTAATTACGTGACTGCCTACACATTCACTTTGGAACCATGCCTACACATTCACTTTGGAACCATGAGATTATGAATTTTCTGTTATGAGATTAAGAATTTTCTGTTATGAGATTATGAATTTTCAGTTATGAGATTATGAATTTTCTGTTATGCGATTATGAATTTTCTGTTATAAGATTATGAATTTTGATTACATTCATAATTTCGGAGTTTCGGACATTCATAAATTATGAATTCATGCATGCACATTCACTTTGGAACCATGCCTACATATTCCCGTCCGAAATCACGGACATTCATAAATTATGAATCCATGCCTGCACATTCACTTTGGAACCATGCCTACACATTCACTTTGGAACCATGAGATTATGAATTTTCTGTTATAAGATTATGAATTTTCTCTTATGAGATTATGAATTTTCAGTTGTGAGATTATGAATTTTCTGTTATGCGATTATGAATTTTCTGTTATGAGATTATGAATTTTCATAAAATTCATAATCTTATAACAGAAAATTCATAATTTGATCAGTAACGCGCCGTTAACTCCACATCCGCGATTTTTTTTTTTTTTTGCCTAAAAACGATGTCGTTTTGACTTGTGTTCACCATTCTCGGTGAACACGATTCCACGGCATAATTTGCGTAAGAAAGTGGCACCATATAATTAATTGTAATAACAATCTAGTAATTTGTGTGAGGTGGAGGGAAGAGAAATGAAAAGAGAGAAGAAAATTGGTGTTGCTAAAAATTGTTTTTTTTGTGGGTTCGGTAAATAAAAAATTAAAAAAGAGGTGATGGTGCATGTGCATCACGCACATTAGTAGCGCCCAGTGGGCGCCGGCATTTTACGAGCCCGTTGAGTGCGTTAATATGTTTAAAAGAATTTTTTTTTTAATTTTGCCTATTGTTTTACCCCTTTTTTGTTTCCCTTGTCTTCCCCTTCTCTTTTCTTATTAGACAAAAAACATAACAAATCCAAACAAACGATTGTAATTGCTCCAAGGAAACTACTATAATCCACTGGTAGGATTATTTTTAATTTGTAATTGAAACATAAATGAAAAAATGGAGAACATATGAAGACAAATGTTTTCCCAAAAGTTGTATCTTAATACAACAAAGGTGTAAGATAATCAAGGAAATGTTATTTAAAATAAATTTTGTATATATACCTATGTAACTAGGTTTTAATGTTTACGTAATCCAATTATATTTATGGGTAAGAAAAGTAATATTAATTATTTTTCCTCCTAAATTTAATTTGCCTCGTGAAGCGAAGTTAGAGTAAAAATTAATATTTTGATTAATTTAGAGTAAAACTTAATTATTATACAGTTGATAATTATTTACTATATTCATTATTCTAAAATATCAATTATTATAATGAATAATTACCATATAATTAATTATAATACCAATCCAACAATTGTTGTAAAAAAAAAATTAATTTTTTGTTGGTCCCGTAAAATAAATAAATAAACGATAGGAGTGCTAGTGTGCATTGCGCGGACCAGCGGCGCGTGCACTACACGTGTCCGATGGGTGGTGTTAAGACGATTACATGATTCTTTTTTTTTTTTGTAATTATTTTTTCATTTTCCACCTCTCTCCCTGTTAAAAATCAATATTATTCCATTTTAGAGTTATTATTATATAAACCAAACACGCCATAATTGGATCCATGACAAAATAATGATTGTTGAAATGTCTTTTATTGCTGCCCATTTTGCTCATAGACGTATAGGGATATGTGGCAAGCTTATAGTTGTTATTGAATCTAAGTTATTTAATTAATTTATTTTTAAAATTATATTTTTATATAAGTAATTTACTTTTAATTACTTTCCCGCTTAAATTAAGTTGTCATACACGCATATTGCACGTACTCTCTTATAACTAATAAGCTAACACCTTTATTTCTCTATACGAATCTTTTCTTTTTAAAATAAATTATTTTGTAGCATAACTGTGATATATATATATATATATATATATATATATATATATATATATATATATATTATGCAGGTGCTTTGCTACCTGAATATATATTAAGAAACTATTCATCCCATCAACACTAGAAAGACAAGAAAGTTGGAAGAAAAAGCATGAATTTGATGTATTGGATGACGAAACAAAGAAACAACTAATAAACTACAACATATTGATGTTCCATGACGTTGTTAGACTGCAAAAAGATCCTCCTTCCTTGCAACAAATGGACCAAACATTAACAAGAGGTATATATTTTGAGTGTTTAGGCTTCCATTAAATGAAAGTAATAAAATTTAAACTAATTGCCTATTGGCAATGGATTTTTTCACTACATATTAGTTGAAATTATGCTTAGCTAATAAAATATGAATTGAAGGATCCGAGCAATTGATAAAGAAGAAGAAGTGCCTGGTAATAAAGAAGAAGAAGAAGAAGAAGTGTCTTGAACTCATTAGTTTGTGATCATGCAATATTATGTTAGAAGATTTGCTTCATATTGTGTATGATTAATGCTTGATTGTTTGAATTGGCAGATTCTTTGGAAATGTGTTGTTGCAAAAAGAGTAGAGCACATATGAGCCACACTACATATTCTTGTTCATATATATGATATATGAGAGTAATAGGTACCTAAGGATAGGGAGAAGTTTACACTTTACATGTTATGGTCTTGATTGTGTTCAATTTTATTTTAATTATGATTGTATTCAATTTGATTTGAATTACCATGACGGTCAAATTGGAGTCAATTGGTTGACCAGATGATTACATCAGTAGCTACATTGCACGCGCCCACTATGTGCGTGAATACAATTAAAAAAAAATTAATTTATTTTGCTTGTGCTATTTTTCATTTTCTTTTTCCCCCCTTTTCTTCCGGCCACTTCTCTCTCCTTGTTGGACAAAAACCTAATTGAAACAATGTAACTATTGTAATTGATCTTAGAAAGCTACTTTATAATCCACTCGTATATGGTTTTTTGTCGGCTAAGAATATGAAAAGATTTTAGTAGCTTCATTAGTTGTCTGTGATGTTTCAGTAATTGAAGAAAAAAATGAACAAATGGAGAACATATAAAGACAAATGTTTTCTCAAGAAAATGTTATTTAAACATAAGTTATTTAATTTCTTTTTAAACTTATATTTTTGTAACTAATTTACTTTTAATTTCTTTTTTCGCTTAAATTAAGTCATCATAAACGCATATTGCACGTGCTCCCGACCAAGCTAACACCTTTATTTCTCTATATGAACCTTTTCATTTTTAAAAAAAAAAAAAACATTATTTTGATTTCTCAATTAACATATATAACATGCATAACGGTGATATATATATATTCAGCAGGCACTTTGCTATCTCAATATTGAGAAACTAATCATCTCATCTGCACCAGAAAAGACAGAAAGTTGGAAGAAAATGTATGGATTTGTTGTATTGGATGATGAAACAAAGAAACAACTAATAAACTACAACACATTGATTTTCCATGACGCTATTAGGCTGCAAAAGATCCTCCTTCCTTGCAACAAATGGACCAAACATTAACAAGAGCTAGGTATTTTGATTAATGTTTAGGTTTCCATTAAATGAAAATAATAAAATTTAAACTAATTGCCTATTGGCTATGGATTCTTTCACTACATTTTAGTTGAAATTATGTGTTACATGTAGAACATGCAACAAGTGAAATCTTTCGAGCAGATTTCTAGCTCCGGATCTGTATTCGAGTCACAGACAAAACTCCAAGATGAAAATAAAATAAAACTTCTTTATTATGAGATGATATTAACCATACAAGAGGTTCCTTAAATACTATTTAGCCTAACGGCTCATTCCATAATTTTAGCTTTAGGATATGGTAAATAGATATGCAGAAGGTAATAAATAATATGCAGAATATTCTCTAATAATAGTGGTAATCTTGGTTCCCTGCTTTCCTTATGTTGCGAATGGAGCGTCGCAATCTTCTCTCCTCGCGGCTGGATTCATTTTGCTGGTAATCTTCTTGTTGATCTTGCCTATCTTCCATTAGTTGATGGTCATTACTCCTTGATCCTTGATCTGCCATCATAACATTATGCTTAGCTAATTAATTGAATATTATGAGTTGAAGGAGCAATTGATGATGAAGAAGAAGAAGAAGATTTCATTTGAAGTCAAAGAAGAAGTGTCTTGAACTCATTAGGTTGTGATCATGCAATGTTATGTTAGAAAAGATTTTCTTCATATTGTGTATGATTAATGCTTGATTATATGACAGATTCTTTGAAAATGTGTTGTTGCTAAAAGAGTAGAGAACATGTGCGCCACACTACACATTCTAGTTCCTACTATATATGAGAGTAATAGGTACGTAGGATAGGTAGATGTTTACAAGTTATGGTCATGATTGTGTTCAATTTGATTTGAATTATGAATTTATAATTGTATTCAATTTGATTTGAATTACCATGAAGGTGGAATTGGAGTCAATTGGTTGACTAGATGATTACACCAGTAGCTACCGGTGGGCGCGTGCTATGCACTGCCCGCTAAGTTAAAAAAAAATTTAATTTATTTTGCAT